GGAATTTCCTAACACCAACATCAAGGGATGTACCTTCCATTTCAGACACAGGAGCTGGGACTCAAGACCACGTATAGCCTCCCTCGACAGGATTACCGCTACATAAGGAGTCTAATGGCATTGCCATTTCTTCCAGCAGCTGACATCCTGCCAGGATTTCAACAACTTCAAACAAGGGCAACATCGCCTCAACTAAAAAAAACTAGTGCAATACATCAGTGAAAGCTGGCTAAGAAATCCGTTGTGGCAACCAACTAATTGGAATATTTACGACCTGACCATCAGGACAAACAATGATGTTGAAGGTAAATAGTTTTAATTTAGACAGTTATCAGTTATTTGTCTTATCTCATGCAACAGCAGGTGAAAAGTGTGTGAAACCGTGTCGTTTTCAAAGAACATTTGTGAAGAACACATACGATTTTCAGGTAAACTGCTGGTCTCATATGACTAAGGGAGAATCAAAGATTAAAACAAGATAAAGCTTGAATAGATTTATTCACATATTAATAGAATAAATTAAAGTTGAAAACTGCCAAAGCAGGTTGTAAAACAGTGTCATGCTCTTTTTCTATTATGGATTCTTGATAGTAATATAGTATTTACGTGTTATACTAGTTCCTGATTCACCTTGCAGGTATAGGTTAGTTGCTGTTCAAGTTTCAGCGTCACTTCCACTTGGCAGCTTGCTTTCATATTACTATCTTAAATATATTATTACTATTACTACCTATTGTTTGGGATAAACATTAACGATTGGTCCCCGGTTCCCGCTATATGTAGGCAGCCATTGTCATCCTGTCGATGAATAAACGTGTTGTGTAATTCACGTCATGTTTCATTAGTAATGAATATGAAACATGGTGTCAGAAGTGGGATCTAGAATCTGCTATCTGAGAGACACCAGATCGTAGAACAGGCGCAATAACAGATTGGTCTCGAAGTTTAATCCGCCGGACAAGTTCAACTTTCTAACGCAAATTGAGTGGCCCGAATGGAAGCAGCAATTTTCGCGCTACAGAGTGGCTACGAAGCTCGGCAAGGAGGACGCCGAAGTGCAGATAAGTTCTCTGATCTACGCCATGGTGAGCGAGACGGGACACATTTTAAACTCATTCCGATTTGCCAGTGAAGATGACGCTGCACACTATGATAAAGTCTTGAAGAAATATGACGAGTATTTTAATCCGAAAAAGAACATCATACATGAACGGGCTAGATTTCACCTACGATGTCAAGGCCAAGGTGAATCCATAAAAGTATTCGTGCGCAACTTACACGAGATTGCAGAACATTGTAACTTCGATAATAAAGGAAATTACTGATAAGGAACTTTCAGAGAAATTACTGTTACAATCCGACCTAACACTGGACAAAGCTGTAGACACGGCTAGAAACTCTGAATGAACCGCTGGTGAAATGAAAGCCAACAATCACAGCGCGGTCGTGGAACTGGTTATTATAAGGGAGGTAACCACGGCAGTACTTGCAAGGCGTATCAGCACAGTCAACGGACTGAGACGTGTAGTAGATGTGGCTGTGATCATGGTGATGGGACGAGGTGCCCAGCCAAGGGACAAACATGTGGGAAATGCAGGAGAATGAACCATTTCGCGAAGTGTTGTCATAGCACTAATACATGTAGGAACATACACGAGGTCACTGAAGGTGCGTGTGCAGACGATAGTGGTGCAGACTCATTCTTCTTGGGGTCTGTAACTACTTGTGAAAATGAAGCTGACGCATGGAACATTAAATTGAAATTAAGCAACAAGGGACTGAACAAGAGGGTCACGTTCGAGATTGATACGGGAGTTGACACATCAGTGATCACTGAGTCTGTGTATGTGTTGCCATGGAAACCAACACTTCAACCAGTAAGTTCGATGCTGCAGATCCCTGGTGGTGTGTTGGCATGTTTATTGCTAAAACAAAAGTGAGTAGAATATCAGTTCCACATCCACGTCGTACAAGGCGTACACAGCAACTTACTGGGCAGAAGTGTAGCTCATTGGATGGGACTGGTGTTAAAGGTCGAAGACGTCCGAGCACTCCGATGTGATATATTCGGAGATCATGGGTGTATTAAAGGACCGCCAGTAAAGATCACACTAAAGGATGATAATAAGCCGCACTGTATTACAACTGCACGTCGAATACCGTTCCCACTCATGCCTAAAGTGGAGGCAGAGCTACAGAGAATGGAACGTCAGGGTGTCATCGTCCAGGAAACGGAACCGACAGACTGGTGTGTGTCCATGGTTCCTGTGATTAAGAAGAACATTGATGTTCACATTTGCGTTGACCTTAAAAGGCTGAACCAAGCCGTGAAACACAAATATTACATGCTACCAAATCTGGATGAGATATATCGGCGAAACTGTGTGGATCGAGTTTTCTCGAAACTGGACGCTTCCAGTGGATTCCACCAGTTACCATTGGCGGCAGAGAGTTGCTGCCTCACGACATTTATAACACCATTTGGCAGATTCTGCTTTCGTTTTGTTCCGTTCGGGATTACATCCACCCAGAAATCTTCCAGAGGAGAATGTCAGAACTGTTATCGGACATGTTAAAGTTAAATCCTTCCCGCGCCTACATGGCGCATAGGGTGGTGCCTATCTCCGTTTCAGTAACCCTGAGGCCCATTATTGGACATAGACGGTGCCAAAACAATCATGGACGACATTCTGATCTATGGTCGCACTATAGAGGAGCATGACGGGAGACTTGAACGCACTCAACAGAGTCCAAGAGTCAGGCTTGAAGCTGAACTGCGACAAGTGAGTACCGAAAAGAGATAATTGAATATTTCGGCCACGTAATCAGCAGTGAAGGAATTAGTCCGAGTTGTTATTAATTTGTTTCATCAGAAAGGAATTCAAATGTTTTCATATTTTATGTGCTCAGCTTCTGGACTGGATGAAATCAACAACAGAAACACAGAGATTGTGCCAAAAAGTAATGCAGTTGCTTTTGAAAATGATAGTAAAAAAAGCAACAATTCCATAAAAAAGTACCATTCATTCATAGTGTTGTGTAAAATGCCAACACCATCACACTTTACCTTTAATAATCAATTATATATACTTCCAACATGCTTAATGCAGGGGTTGAATCCACAGGGGCCGGCAGGCCCGATGCCCGTATTTTAAGGCTTGGGCCTGACATTTCTAATACTAGCAAGCCCACAGGCACTTGGGACAGAGTCAGTAAAAACTGAAAATAATATGAACACACATTCACAAATAGGCCCTACTGCCGTACCCCTCTGTTACAGTTCCACTGTTGCGACACTGTATATCAACTTTCCTTCATAAAATTTAAAAACCTATGTAAAAACTAACGCCGAACGCTCCCGCACTCGCCGCTGCGAGTGTGCTGTGGACGCTATGATGATAATATATATAGAGAAGGTAGGAAACTCCGTTTGCGCAATTTGCGACGATCACTCCTCGATTCTTTCACATTTCACAAACTTGTCAGGCACCTACCACCTCCATCTTGGGTTCGTTCTGCCCTCTATAGTCCACTGAACAAAAATATGTAACTACCGTGGCCGAGAAGTGCCGCTTTGCTTTGTAATGTGACTTCAAACTCAGAAGTCCCGCCGTTTGTGCTGATTCATCAAAAATGTATACGATTCACGATTCCAATCGGCCCCGGTAGTCGAGGGCGCCGCGGAGCGCGATTGGCTGCAGGCGGGACGCGTCATAAGCAGCCGTGATTTGTTTACTTGGATACCATAGGCAGCGAAATAACGTGGGGAATTTGAAATCAGGAATACGAAGAACAATAAATAATTATGGCGTTGCAAGATAGGACAAACGCGTTTGATACTGGACAATGGTAATTATCAAGTACAACATACAGGGGCGTAGCCAGTATGTAGCACTGTAGGCCCGGGCCTACGCTTTTTTTGGCCAAGTTATCTTTTTTTTAAACACCTATAATTCAAATCCATAAGCTTGCTGGACGAGTTTAAAAGTCTAGACAGGAAAAACTATTGAAATGAACGTAGCAAGAATGTGGCTAAATTAGGTGACCTATTCTTCTGTCATCTAGGCCTAACGCCTCCTGGTTGAATGAACAACCATGGCTAAGGTACTCTGCTAGTAAAGACGGTGTTTACTGTTGTTACTGTCGTTTATTCGGTACCGGCGGTAGTGCCAGTGGTGAAGCGGGTCATTTCGGATCACAGCCTGTGAGTGACTGGAAAAACATTTCTGTTATGATTAAGAGGCACCTAAAATGTAAGGCCCATCTAACAAACACTGTCAAAGCAGAGAGTTTCCTGTCTGTATCACTTGGTAAACAAAAAGATGTACGTAGTCAGTTGTCAGTTTTCAAAGCAAATAGAACGTAACCGTAAAATCATATCTAGCATACTCGATGTAATCATTCTTTGTGGTAAACAGAACATACCATTAAGAGGTAGAACTGAAGACAGAAGCAATTTTATGGCTCTGATCAATTTCCATGCTAAGGCTGACCCTGTCCTTGAACAGCATTTTGCCAATGCACCCAACAATGGTAAATATCTGTCACCACATATACAAAATGAATTGATTGAGCTTTGTGGTAAACAGATAAAGGATACCATTGTAAAAGATTGTAATGATTCTTTTTGCTTCGGCTTGATGGCTGATGAGGCTACCGATTGTGCAACACTTGAGCAAGTTGCAATGTGTGTTAGATTTGTACAAAGGAAAACAAACAATATCGCAGTACGTGAAGAGTTTCTTGGCTTCAAAGATGCGTGTTCAACTACAGGTGAAGCCTTAGCAAACCAGTTCTGCCAAACACTAGATGAGTGTGGCATCAATGCCAATAAGATGAGAGCCCAATGCTATGATGGGGCCTCTAATATGAGCGGAAAGTATAAAGGAGTACAGGCAAGAATAAGAGAAATTTATCCAGATGCCCCTTATATCCATTGTCAGGCTCATTGCCTAAATTTGGCTATAGTTCATGCCTGTAGTGATCCCCTCATTAGAAATATGATGGGCACTGTTCAGGAAATTGCATTTGCATTTTCCTACTCTGCTAAACGCCAGTATCACTTTAAACTTGCCATGATGGAGAGCGAAACCGCCCAAGAAAAGATGAAGAAAAGGGATAAACTTAGAACCCTCTGTGAAACTAGATGGAGCAGTCGACCTGATGCATTGTTTACTTTTAAATCATCATTTGACGTCGTTGTTGATGCTTTGGCCGAACTAGAGCTAAATAGTGATTCTAAAGCTCGTGCCTTCCGTTGCTCAATCCTGAAGTTCGAATTTATTGTTGCGTTAGTTGCAGCGGAGAGCATTCTACAGTACGTTGTTCCCTTATCAAAAATGCTACAACGGATAGATAATGACTTGGTCACTGCGGCAAAAGAATCCAGAGTCGTTATCGATACCCTAACCGAACTACGTACACGTGATGAAGCCTGGGATAAACTATACACAGACGCTACAAAACTAGCAGAAACATTTGATGTCCAACCTACGATGCCTAGACTAACTGGAAGACAGACCCACCGAAGTAATGTTCCTGCTGCTGACCCGAAGGAGTACTGGAAGCTGTCGTTGTTTTATCCTTTTCTGGATCACCTCCTTAGTGAACTAGAAACTCGTCTCGTATATCCCAGTGACCGGTTTAGTGCCCAGTACCTCGTGCCATCTAACCTCCACAAACTCAATCCTGAAATAGAGGCCAATCTCTTTGTTCCATTTGCTAGTGATATTTCCGATGAGATGGCCGCATTGCAGGAAAGTGAACTTTCTAGGTGGAAGACAAAATGGCAGGGACAGGATGACATTCCAGATTCCATTTGTGAGACACTGCGTCATGCTAACACTGATCTGTATCCAAACATATCCGTTGCACTGACAGTGCTACTAACCATGCCAATATCTTCGGCAACTGCTGAAAGGTCTTTCAGCGCAATGCGCAGAATCAAAAACTACATGCGTTCTACAATGAATGAAGAGAGACTCAGCGGTTTGGCACTCATGCACATCCACAGAGACTTTGCAATTGACGTTGATGCTGTGCTGAAGAAATTTGCATCAGATGGCAATCGTCGGATAGCTCTCGCCTTCTCTTATTAGGCTAACTTAAACATTTACTAGCTACAGTTGTATCAAAGACAATTACTGGCTATAGTTGTATCAAAGACATTTCTGGCCTATCTTTGTATCTACAAGTATCAGAAGTTGAAAAGTAAGACTACTCTGTACATGTAGCTTGCTAATTTTAAATACATTATGTAGTATTGAATTACGTACTATTTTAACTCGTTTGCTTTTGGGGTTTAAAAGTGATATTGAATGAGGTGTCTCAAGTTAGCAAGAGGCCAGGGAACCAGAATGAACACTCCAGAAGGGCCGTTTCCGGCCATCTGGGGGGTTTGTAAAACCAAAAATTTTCTTGTACGCTCCGCGCCAACCGATGGTGCCGCTCCGCTCAGATAGTCGTGCCTACAACTTTGAAAATCCTGGCTACGCCCCTGACATATGGTGTATTCGTTCAATTTCGGTTTATAATACTGTTCACGTTACGTTTACCAGTTTATCTTATTATTAATATTACAATATAATTTACTAACTATAGCCTAGGCCTATTATATATATATATAATATATTAACTAGTCACACGTAATAATCTGTGTAAGTTAAAACTAACCCTAAATCTTAGTCTTTGTTGTTGCACTCTGGTTCGTATGCAAACTACTTACCAGTTATGAATATGAATTAGAGCTTCAACGATAATTACCTTTTCTACCAAAACTTGAAAGGCATTAAACAGTAAATATATATAACATAAACTCCAATTTTTCATATGTTAAATACAAGCCGTATAGTTTTAATTAAAAGTCACTGATCTTTGCTATCTTCAACTTCAGGTTGAGGGAAAATGATTGTGAAAATCAGAATGGTTACATCGAAGCAAGTGTTCTCTATGAAAAATATGTGAAAGACGCCATGAATTTGGCTGTGAATAAGTAAATGTTTGGTAGAATTGTGCATAGCACATATAATTTAAGGGTGTCAACTAAGCGAAAGGGAAGTTTGTGTGTGAAGATATATAAAGAAATCACCAGTGAAATCTGCAGAGACCACGTGGACAATTTGATTCTTTGTTCTGGAGTATAAAATATACAAAGCGTGATCTGCTCAGCAAGCTCTATTACATCAGAGCATACTAACGGGGCAGGTGTTACAACGATGAGAGTGAAGGCACAGGGATGCTCAGGTGTGACCACGACCAATTCAAAGGCATGCAGAAAATGTCAGCTCCACTATCGCTACCTACAGAAAAGAATGGTATCTGCCATTGACGATACTAACCAACAGCACAACATAGAATGGAAGCTGACAAATGAGGATGATGAAGACCTAGCCTCCATTTTGGAAGAGCATTTTCCGAGCATTAGTAAAAACAACCTACTGCGGAATCTGCTTATTGCCCAGGAAAAAACCACTGCTGCAGATCCTCGAGGCAGAAGATGGCACCCAGAGTAAGTTTATTTATAACGTATATTTCATAAAAAAAATTACCAGTATTATTTCCAGTCAGTATCTACTTTGTCGTGAAATGTTACATCATTTATTCAATTCAATTAATTTTCACTTACAGGATAATAAAAGCCTGTCTGACGCTATGGGCCAGCAGTCCTAGAACGTACCAGCGATTGACTTCCTCAGGACTAATGGTTGCACTACCCAGTGGACGTCTTTTGCGATATTATAAGAATGCTGCTCACCAGTGTAATATAGTGAACCATCCCTAACTCTAAATACCACACCGTCAGGTGCTGCCACCATGCGGTCTATATTAGGATTAGGGCGTACTGTATAACCAGTTAAAAGAGTCAATAAAACAGCATGAATCTAAAGCAGTCGTGTTCTCTATCACTCCAAGAAACACATAGAAAACATGCAAACATTACAACCAGAAACCAGGCTTTAACGAAGACATCTTCAGATGGATGCATGAGACAGCGGCTGAAAAGAAGATCCCTCCCCATGGTTTAACTGGCGGGGTTATCTTTGATGAAATGTCTATTCAGTCGGATTTGCAAATTCTCCACATAGAGGGCAAAGTGAAAATTATAGGCTTCGTGGACATGGGAAGAGAGTGTGATGCCATGCAAGTTCTTAAGAAAGGTAAACGTAAAAAAGTTAATGTAGGAATTATTATTCAAGTAATGATCAAGAATTATTTTTTAATTATTGCTATATACATTAACCTCACCTCGTCTACACAGAGTCGCCTTACCCGAGTATAGCTAACCTGAGTTAACACTTAACCAAAGTGAAGAAACAAGCATCGTCTACATGGATTTTGTCTTAACCCGAGTTAAGCTAATGGCACCTAGCGGGAGGCGGGGTTGACTGAGTTATCCAAGTACACGATTAGCGTCTACACGAGTCTTAACTCGGGTTGGGCTTAACCCAAGTTAAGACCTTATAATTATTGCGTATAGATGCTTAACCCGAGACAAATCTTCTCGTGTAGTCGATGCTATTCTAACAATTGCCCATGTACTAAAAAAAACGAGGCTGCATTCTTATAATGCATAGTGCTGTGCCACTTGTGACGTGTGGAGGCGGCTGTAATAGGCGAATCCATGCAACAACAAAACGATATAAGACGTGAACACTTTTTCAAATAGTTGCAGCGTCTAATAATATAAGAAAGCAACTTTCGTTTATTATAACTTTGTTCATATTAAATCTGACCAATCATCTGATATTCATAAGTAACATTGTAACATCGCAATTGCAATAACATATTAGGAAGCAGCTTTTTTATCTATCTATCTATTTTAGTCTATAATAACTCTTTGTTAACATTAAATCTGACCAATGATCATGATCTGATATTTATAATTTCAGTAGTGATTCATTAGTGTTTCAAAATTATTGCTATACATTCTAACAATTGCCCATGCAATAATAATGTAAAGCCCGCCACACATCCACCTCTATGTAGCCGACCAATATCAGGCGATATCATTGAATCAACCTTAAAATGACGATGAAAAATGTCGGGATTTGCAATTTGATTCAACGTCGAAATGTCAACGTTTTAACGTTGCTCTCACTCGCTCGCTTGCTCGCTCTCCCTCCCTGTCTCTCTCTCTCTGTGCGTGTGTTTGTGCGTGCGTGCGTGCGTACGTGCGTGCGTGCGTGCGTGCATGCGTGCGTGTGTATGTGTTTGTACGTGCGTTGGTTCCATGTTGAAATCATGCGACTCGCTTGACCGCCTGCTATTGGTTGGCTACATGGAGGCGCATGAGCAAATTTCTGCACACACACCGCACACGGTGTTCGAACTTCTAAACGCGAAAAAAAATATCAAATGTGTGATATTTTCCACATGACCCAGATCGAGAGAATTTGCATGCGCCCACGCTGTGGAACTTGCTGTGCCACTTACGACATGTATGTGGAGGCGGATTTGATAGGCGAATCCATGTAACAAAACAAAGTTATAACACACTTTCTCAAACAGTTGCACCTTCTAATAATCTAGGAGGCAACTTTCTATCTATACATCTATTTCAGTCGATTAAAACTTTTTTAACATTAAATCTGCCCAATCATCTGATAATTATAGGTAACATCATTGTCTTTCGCAGGAAAATCAGAAGCGCATGTAGCAACACATGCGCTTTTGTTTCTTTTTCAAGGAGACACAGGCTTCCGATTCCCATTCCTTCACTTTCCCACATCAGAAGCTACTGCTCCAGAAATTGAAGTAATTTTCTGGAAGGCCGTTAGCGCACTACATGAATGGGGTTTCCATGTAAGTATCGTATTGTCTGCAATGTGTGGTGCCACTAAATACTTCTAAAAATAATCTCATTATTTTAATCAGCCTTTCCTATACAACCGATGTCATATTTATTCGTTACATTAAGCTACATGTGGCTCTACTTTTAGGTGAGCTACGCATGCTTTGATAGAGCTGTTCACAACAGGTCTTTTCTGAAAACCCACTTTGAAAACCTTTCGTCACTTGCTATTAAAGCGTCATTCATGGGCTTCAATCCATACTCGGCCAGCACACCATTAATCTTCATAATGGATCTCAAGGTAAGGACTTCAACAATACATTGTTGTATTAAATAAACTCCTTTACATTTTTATCACAAATCACAAAAAATGTAACACATACCCTATGCTTGCGTTTGTGCTATTAATTCTTTTTGAATTCACAAGGTTGTTTCTGTTGACCAGTTATGCTTAGAACCTGTCACTTTGTTTTCAGCACCTTATAAAAAAAATAAGAAACAACATACTAAAAAGTGGGTTTGGTGGTGGTTGCACTAGACTCCTGGCAGTTGGCAAGCGTTTCATCCGTTGGGACATGTGGGTGAAGGCGTACCGCTGGGATCACGAGTCCACGACTGTAATGCCAGTGAAGTTTCCAGAATCCATCACCTCCTAACTGACGATCATATCTGGCCAAACAGCTGCCAGAAAATGAGGAATAAATTAGCTGAGGATGTGTTGGCAAAGAAATGCTTCATTTAATGAAGGTATTGATTGCAAACAGCACAATGTTTTCCAACTAACCACACTCACATTGTTTATAACATGTAAATTATCTACACATACTTATTATTAAATGTTAAAAGGAAGATGCTATACCAATTTAAAACGTAAACATTGCAATTTTTCTAGGCTTATCAACGTGCTGAAACTGACAACGGTAGTGATCTCGACGCAAGTATTGAACTTCTGGAAGCAACCAGCATCCTTGTCGACGTTTTCAGCGACACCAGGCCAATAATAGCAGTGGACGACAAACGCATTGTGGAACTGCAGAAATCACTGAAATGGTTTGTCGACTGGGAAGACAATACTATAGCTGAGTCTAAATCAGCAGCTGAGACAAGAAAAAAACTAATGTCTCAAGAAACGAGGTTTGACTTGAAATCGTCAATAACTGGCTTCACCAAGTTTATCGAGGAAAAAGTGAAAAGATTCCCGGGAACAGGTGTGATCCCTGCTAATGTGAACAGTGATGTAGTAGAAAATGTATTTTGCCAACAACGCGGAATTTGTCATGGGGCAAATGACAACCCCACATATAAGCA